AGAATAAATTCACCTTGGGAACAATATTTTAAATTTTAATAAATAATTATACCACGGGTCACAGTTTTTTGTGTATTGCATTGTTTTTGGATTTTTTTTAATTTATCTTTGTTTTGGTTGAATCTTAAATCCTATAAATTATGGAGAATAACTATAAAAATAAATGATCATTACCTATTTAAAAGTAATACACCTGGGCGGGAATTTACCGACCAATCAAAAGAAGTGCAATTCGTGTGCATAGTTCGTCAATATTTGGAAAATATATCAATATACCAYATTATTAATTCATCATGATATTAAAATCAATATCTAGCCTATCAAAAGAAAATAGTCTCGAGTGCCGCGGCCATACTTGTAATAAATAATTTACTGTTTAATTGAACTATGCTACCATCACGGTAGTACCTAGGCACTATTTTTAATTTTTTTTTTTTCAACCTCGAACTAGGGTAACAACAAAGATTTGGTAATCATTTAAACCGTGTTAACTGATAGTGTGATATTTTTGACACTACTCAATTACTCAGATAGTCAGATCATAATAATATACAGTATACACAATTATTATAAATCATATTAATTTAATTGTTTTATTTTCTTGATAATTAAACATTTTATATGAAAATCAAGTAATTTCAAAGATTATTTATCTGCTTATTGAGTAATTTATTGTCTTTTGATTTCTGATAAGTAGGTAAGTAATAGTGTTAGCTATTGTTTTTCAATTGATTTATAACGTTAAACGTTTTCACTTTTCCAGTTGGATAAGATGACAAGACATGCTAGGAATTGTACAGCAGGTGCTGTTTACACATACCATGAGAAACAAAAAGACGCTTCTCAGTCTGGCTATGGAACTCAAAACGAGCGTGTCGGCAAAGATTCTATTAAGAGCTTTGATTGTTGTTCATTGACATTACAACCCTGCAGAACTCCAATTGTTTCGTGAGTTATATATTAGTAATAAGCATTTTGCCAATTATAAGCTAAAGTAAAATGTTTGATCTTTATTTTGTTATGTAGTCCTGAAGGCCATTTATTTGATAAAGAAGCTTTATTGCAATACATGATTACCAAAAAAAATGAATACTGTAGAAAACTGAAAGAGTATGAAAAACAGAAACACAARGAAGAAGAAGAATTAGCTGAACTAGGTAGAGCTGAACAGCAATCTAAAGTGAATGATTTTCTTAAAAGAGAAAGTATGGTGAAAAAACAAAATGATATTTACAAAATGAAATCTCAGAAACGATCAGAAAAAAATGTATCATCTATTTCGAATATGGCTAATGGTTTGGATAAGCAGCTGCCAAGCTTTTGGGTACCATCAGAAACACCTGATGCTAATAAAGCGCCAATGCAAAAACCAGTAAAAACATTATATTATATTACAACTTAGGTTATAATTAAAAAGTAATAATCATAAGACATATTGTATAATATGTATATTATCTCTGAACATCATTATACAATATTTATTTAATACAGAGTTAATTTGTTTGGTAAAAATCACTTTAATTTGATAATTTTCTACGCATTTTAACAATTAATAGTTATTTGTTTTAGAAAGTTTTGTTTAATGTTATCCAGTTAGATGTTTARATTTTATACAATTATATTGCTACTGCCATTGTCAAAACAGGGTACTGATTTAGTTGAGCTCCACCTAGAAAGCATTCCCCCTCCACATAGGTTTAGTTGACTCCTGCCTTTAAAATTTCATTAATATGTTTAAATTTTGTGTACTATTAATTACTGATGTATTATATTTATTTATAGCCCAAAAATCTTGATAGAATCTATACTATATTATTTAATTATTTAAATTAATTGCAAACAAATTAAGTGTTATATTTGACAGTGCAATCCAAACAGACAATAAATCGTCTGAAAACTAATATTGTTTATTCAATTTGTTGTTATAAATAACTATTATATTAAATTTGAAATTAAATATGAAACAATGTGTATGAAACTATGAAATCGCATAATAGAATATTAATTCATATAATAATATGTATAATGTTATCATGTTCAAGAATCTAGTGCTGTGGCACATGCAAAACCTGAGTGGTAAGGTTAGGTGGGTTTAGCCAGTGGGGTAATACTTTCTTAGAAGGGATCAATCAGACCAGTGCCCAAAAAGTGTTCATTTTATGAACTGAGCATTATTGAAACTAGAATATTCACAAGGGTTTATTTAATATTTAAATTTCTTTTCTTAATATTAATTGATGTCCGAAGATGAAGATTACATAATTTAGAATTAATTGTTATTATTTTTTTATTTTGCTAACAATCTAATTGGATTTAATTTGTATGTTTTCTGTTTTGAAGGATAAGACAATTTATTGTCCTATGAGTGGCAAACCATTGAAGTTAAAAAATTTTGTGGATGTTAAGTGGACATTAGTAAATGACCCAAGTGATAAAAAATCTTTGGCAATTCGGGAAAACCGTTACATGTGCGCAGTGACCCATGACATATTAAGTAATGCCGTACCTGCAGCTGTTATTCGTACAACGTATAAATCAATCACATTTTAAACAATATGTCAATATATCAGTATTCTTTAAATATAAAGTGTTAATCTATGTTTTTAGAGGTCATGTGATTACAATGGAATGTTTTGAGAAACTAATTAAAAAAGATTGGCTACATCCTTTGAATGGAGATAAATTAACAGAAAAAGATATCATACCTTTACAAAGGGTAAGGAGTTTATTACTATTATTTATTTTTTTGTATTTTATTCATTTGTTTATTTTATTATTATTAGGGTGGAACGGGATATGCAACAACAAATATGAATTTACAAGGGAAAAATGCAAGACCTGTTCTACAAGCATAAAGGATATTTTCAATTTTAAATGATATTGTTTTACTATAATATATTAAAATAATGTTTGTCATCATTTGAACACWAATTACTGCTATACAATAATATTATTTTAAATTATTTCAATGTGTATGGGATTTATTGTATGTAGCATTGTAGCTTACATGATCTTTTTTTTTTCTATTAAGAAGAATATATTTACAATCTATTTTTACAATAATCAGTAAGTATGATGACAACATTTTATTTATATGGCATTAAGAATATTAGAAAAGGAAGGCCCTCAGTAGTGCCACCTGACAAGAAATTACATTAAGTTAATTACATGATCTAAGTATCAAAAGTAGAAATCATTAAAAAAATTAAAAACATAAAAAGAAAATTGATAACAACTAATTAAAAGTATTGAAAAAAAATTGATAAAGATGAYATTGATGGCTGGAACTTATAAGTTGTAACTACTAACTACGATTATAAAGAATCTTTAACTACCAATACTTTATAGTCTATAATCATTACTGTAATAGTGGCACTGGCCTACTGTAATATTTCTATGTAGTTCCTAATGTTTCTAGTTTTAATATGGGCTCATGATTACTGTTTAGGTATTTATCTACTGTGTTTTACTCAAATAGAGGTGTTCGCTTAAATTTATACCATACATCTCAATATTTGGTAAATAATAAAAATGTAYGACAAATATATAATTATTGTATACAAAAAAAKATTCTGCTCGAAGATGGACTATATGCAGTTAACCTATAATTAACTAGTAGGTATATTTTATGAATTATTATTACTTATAATTAATCTTGTTATTAGTGGTTATATGTTAATAGAAAAGATAAAATTCATTTTTGTTGAAAAAAATTGTATTTGAAACGAATGAAATGTCACTGTGTATATAAAATATAATAATAATTAATAAACTTACTCTAAATATTTCAAGGACCCACAAATAATGTTTTTAAATAACAACAGAATAAATTCTTTATTCTTGGTTTTAACATGAAATTTTATTCAAAATTGAAGTTAAAAATCTTTGTAAAAAAAACTGTGTTTATATATTGTATTACAGAATTAACTATGTAAGTCGTAGGTGGAACTTTTTTTAAATTTCAATCTGTAGCTATAAAATTTGAACATTTTATACATATTTAATTACACAATAATTTATAAATGTTCAATTCGATACATAAAAAGTTTTAACTTTAAAGGGTTATAAAAAATTTAAGTGGATTTACAATCAACTTTCTTTTAATTTTCACTAACAGTAAATTATAAGGAACCTTGTATTACATTTTCAAAGTTTTTGATCAAGTGAAACATTTTTATCAGCATTAATTTTAAAAAAACTAACAAAAATTAAAAATTCCATGTGTATGTGTATAGATTTATGATTTTTGAATTTTACAATGTAAAACAAAAAGTTTTAATGCAAACATYCAGTAAAAATGTCATGTTTATGTGGTAACTTTTTTAGAGTTATAACAAGATACAAGAACCAAAATTGATTTTGTCTAAAACCTATTTCGCGTAGAAATTCCCGTTTTTCCCTAGGTAATGAAAACAACTGGATTTTAAATTTTAACCTCCCGATTGCATCAATTATATTCACTTTGCCACCGAAAAAGATATYAAAGTGGAAAATCAAATCATGATTTTTACTACTTGTATACACGACAGATACAAAAAATAGTAACACAATATATCATTGTAAAATCAATACAGATTCAGAATCTAAAATAAAATCATAYATAATGTACCTACATAAAACATAATTAATAATTTAATAATAGACAAAAACTAAGAATACATTGATTTAGAAATATTATAGTTATGAATTTATTATTATAAAGTATAATTATTGAAAGTTATGGTAATCATCTAGTATTGGCACCTAGTACCTACCTAATGATTACTAAGTTGGTAATTTCGTGCACTTCAGTCTATATTGCTCACGTAGGTATACTAGCATTATTCATAGGTGMAAATAGGTGGGCTTAGGGGGTATTAGCACCCCTTATTTTAAAATTAGTACCCTCAAATAATGATCATGCTTGATGCTTATGTATAAAAAACTTCTTTAAAAAAAAAAAAACTGAATTGACATAACATACGAGTAAGCACGCTTAGTTTTTTTTAAATTTAAATTACGCCTGACTAGTATGTAGATAGGTAAAAATAATTTCAATCTCCCAACAATCAACGCCCCATATACCTACGTAATAATGCACCTGAGTGCCTGACAATGGTTTATTTTACGTRTCTAATAATGTTATGGAGTCGTTTTAGGTACTGACTGTTTTTTTTTTTTTGAAACAGCGAATGAAAATAAACCAATACACATGTAAAAATATGTTAACAACTTGTTTAAAACAAGGTTTAAGAGCATAGATATAGACATATAGTCGATATAGATACTTAATATTAGATTATACTTCACGTAATAAACGATTTATGTTGGGTTGTTTTCGAATTCATATTTTGATGTCTATGAATTTTAATAAAATGGTAAAATATTATGTGTTACGGGTTTGATCGTTTTGTCTAGACATTTCTGTAATGCCATTTAAATATACCAAACCCGCAATAACTCTTTTATATCTTTTTTATTAAATCAAAATATGTGGGTACCTATACGACAGTTGACAGTGTTGACATTAGATATATTAATATTATATTCTGTTACTATCATGTGTGGAATTTGTATGTCTCTATAATCTACATGATGTACCTATATAATATTGTCATATTGATGAGCATACTGCAACATTGAATCGTGTTCTTTTATCATAATATCGTGTTAGGTTTAGGTAGGCCGTAGGCATTAAATTCGATCATCAAATTTGATTTGYAATGAATATGTAAATATAGCCAATATAGGTAGGTAGGTAGCTAAAATAACTACTTAATATTATTTGAATTATTGAAGAATTATGTTAATGCAACATATAATATAAATACTTACATAGGTACTATTATATAATATAGGTAACGGCATTATTTACTATATGTATATGGTTATATTTTTTTCCTAAATAACCATGAGGGACTTTATACCTAAAGTAGGTATTTTGAATTTTGATTTTTGGTAATGTTGAGAGTTAATAGCCAAATATTGTGATTTTTGGGGTAATTAAAATATAAGACGATGGCGGATGGTTTTTTATTTTTTAATTTTTGGACGCGGATGAAGAAAGTGAATAGTGATATGGTGTAGATGGCGATATATTGCGTAAATAAAATTAAAATATCTACATTAGAAGTTTACCTACATGATTTCTATTTATTTACCAAGAAAATACAAAACACTACGTAAAATAACTTGGTCGRTACTGTGTGTAGTCCGTAAACTTCTCTCGGTGAGTGGGACTCATCACTGCGATTAGAGATTTGCAAATGGTGGATGCTTATGCAGTTAAATATTTTTTTAGCTTAAAAATTAAAAGTTGCAGGATAGGATAGAAATTAGCTTGTTAACCTTAAGAATACAAAGAAAAGATATTTATGTAGCGTATATATTTGCATATTTTTAATGATTTTCCTTTCAAAGCATGTTTCTATTATTTTAGTTCATGTTTAGAAATATTGTTGCGTATTTTGATTATACATTCATATTATATATATTTTATAGCTATATAACGACTTTTCAACGGTGAAATAAAAGATATAATTAAATTTAAGATTATTTAAATTTTAATACAGATTTCAAAAGTTCAATGAAGTATATTCGGTATAGTATATGAAACATTTTCTCACATTT